TTTGTCTTCACTAAGCGGTTTGAACGGTTAACTCTTTGTCTAGAGTTAATGCTCTCAGTTTATGTCCACCTGCTCTCAGTTTAAAAAAATAAAAAATGATTAAAACTGTTCGAACGATTAATTGTTCGAATCAACAGTTTACTGACCAAAATTAATGGTTTTTGAAGAAATTTCGGTTTTGAAGAAAACTGAAACCAGTCACTTGACTGGTTCCTGGTTTTTCTGATCCAGTCTGGTTTTGAAAACCATGGATTAAAGATCTAAATTGGCTCCAAAGTCTTATGTTTTATTTAGTTTGTGCCAGGTCGAACAATGGAGTGGCGCATTATTTGGCTCAACTAGGCTTATCAGAGCAGGAGTGCTTCCTCTTCAATTGTCCATTCTTGTTGTTTGAATGCTGATATTCTACAAGCTTTGTTTGGACTTTCCTCATTGTTATGTTGTATTCTCGAACCTGTGCTTTGTGTTCCTTCATCTTTTAATGAAAATTATCTTAGTTGATATCTGAATTTTATATAATTTGTCATATTCACTTAGGGGTGTTAATTGGATTTGGACCAGTCTTGGTCCAATTGGTTCAATATGAGTTTATTAAATACGTCAGGTCTGATCCAATCCGATGAATACTTTAGATCATTTTAGACCAGTTTAATTCAATGTCTGAACCGCTCAATTTATTTAAATTGGTTTTAATTTAGGTTGATTATATTGGTTCAATTTAAGGGTGTTAATGGATCAGGATCGGACTGGATCCCATCCGATTCAAATCTCATTTTGGACGGTCCAACAAAACATATGGATGCGAACCGATCCTGAATCAAATGTCCAATGAATATTTTTCGGATTGGAGTGGATAATCCATATGTCCAATGGTCCGTCCAAATCCCACCATGCCTCTTCGTAATTCTCTCTCTCAATTCCAACTTCGCGATGCCGGATTGACACGACACCACTTTGCGAGCTGCCCGTGCTTTGGTGGGTCATATTTGTCTCATCCAGGATATTCATAGGTCAGGCCCGACATTGTCCATGGCACAAAAGCCCAAATAGCCGCCTGAATCGTGTCATGCCGTGTCATGGGTCGAGTCAGGCCACAAGCCTTGGGTCAGGTCATAAGAGAAATATTTAAAAAAAAATCAAAAAATAGTGAAAATTTTAAAATAAACAAGAAAGTAAAAAAACTTAAAATTTTATTTTATAAGAATTTTGATGTATAATATTGTTTTTTGTTCATAATTTTGAAAATTAGATTGGATTGGACGGTCAGACGGGTTGACCTATATATATGGGCTATGTTGGGTCACGGACCTGTGCCAACATGGCATATGTGCCTATGTCGTGCTGGCTCACGGTTAGCACGACCCAATTTATAGCTCTACTAGAATCCATCAACTTGACACCAGGACTGCTTTGCATCTCAAGAAGCACGAGTCATCAACTCAGATTCCAATCCAATAGTTGACAGCTCAACACTGATTTTGAATTTTGAATCGCTCTAATTCAAATGTTTTTGTTTTTATCCGCTTTTCTTTTTAGATCTCTCTTTCTCTTATATTTTCTATTATTTGTTAGTAGTGTCAATTGGACCAAATTTGGTCGAACCTCGATACAGTCCAATATGAGTCATTTTGGATTAGTCCCATTCAATATTTGAATTGTCCAATCTGTTTAAATTGATTTTAATTTAGATTAGTTCCAACCCAAACTTGGTCCATTGACACCTGTATTATTGTCTTCTATCATTGGACCAGATATTGGTTCAATCCGATCTAGTCCAATATAAACCCATTACCGATCAACCAGGTCCAATTCAATCCAATAAATACTTTGGACCATTAAGTTTGGACTGGTCCAATTCAATATATCGTATTGGTTCATCCAATCCGTCTAAAATGATTTTGATTTGGATGGATCCAACCCAAAACAGGTCCATTAGCACCTCTCATTGTTTGTGGTTTTTATGCTTTTTACTTTTATTTTTCTGTTTTTGTAGTGTTTGTATATGTTATGGTTTTCTATAAAGTATCTAATATATTTATGTAGTTTTTTTATAGATTTTGTTTTTTTGTGTTTCATTCAATTTGGATTGGATAGGATTGACCCCATCTGGTCCATTTGTATTTCAATTGGACCGGTTTGGACTTGGTTTATATGTGATTTGGACTAGATTGGGTCCACATGTTGGACCAGATTGGATTGGACCAAATCCAGTCCAATTAACACTCCTTCAATATTCCGATCCAATCTAATATAAATCAAATGGATCGGACCAAATCTAATCCAATCCAATTTAATATTTCTTATTGATCCGTCTAATCTATCTCAATTAATTTTAATTTGAACGGATCCAATCCAAAGCCGGCCCATCAACACTCCTATATGGTCAGCAGACCATTTTCCATGCCCAACTCAAGGTGAAACTTGGGCTAAATTGGAATATTGGTTGAGGTCAATCCTCACCCAACCAGAAGTTATGAGCCTAGCCCAATCCGATCATAAAGTCAAGCTGCAGGCTACACAATTATAGTTCACTTTCAGTTTGAAACCTTGCGTATTGAACTTTTCTTTTGTGTAAAACAAGTCGACAATAATATTATATACAAGAATACAATTACAAGTAATAATGTACCCGGTTAAGCCGGGTTTGGGCTGCATTTTCCAACCCTAACCCAACTCAGCTCTATATTGGGCTGTTTTTTCCAACCCTAACCCTGAATCAATCTTCAATACAACTACGACTGGTGGGATGTTTCTGCACCTTCGTGCTCAAACCTGTGTCTTTCGGTTAGAAACTAAACTCTTTTTAAGTCTGAATAAACCTAACCCAAATCCCAATGGCTATAATTAATAAATGTTAAATTTAGTCAATTGTAGCCTCAGAAACAGATTGGGTAATTTGGCCCACTACGAAAAGGGTGGGAAGGAAGTGTTAATAATTGAGTGAATCCCGATAATTTAGCGTCATCAACCCATGGTTTCGGGTTAATGGTCCAAACAAGCCCCAGCTCCACCATTTTTAATTTAGTTCACTATATGTGGAGCCTCAGCAATACATCAAAATTCAAAAGGCCGTGATTTCATGGTTTTAGCCCATTGATTTTGATTAACCTCACCATCATCAATTGCTTGATTATAGCTTAAAACTTATTTTACCAGAAAAACAACACCCCACACACACATTTGGAGTCCGAATCTCCTGCACATCTCATTCTACATATCTTCCTGCACAGCCCATTGGATTGTGCCATGTCAGCATCACATGAGTGAAAGATTTGTATGTGTGAACAACTTAATGGACGACCGATAACGTTCAAGAGGCTTCATTTCCTTCCTCTCAAATTTCAATTATTCCGATCTTGGGTGGAGAAAACATGCCTGGAAAACAGAGGGAGCACCAATTGTGAGAAATTCTTTGAGAAACCCAACCCATTATCGCTTTATGAGGGTTTCTCACATTCTCATGCAAATTTAACTCGATCCTTTTCGTTGCCTTAATGGCATCTCAGGCTTATCACAATATATATTCAAAAGGCATTATTAATGGAAATGTTGCAGATCCAAAAAATTATGGCAAATCTGAAACCTGAAGAAAAAACAAATTAACATGAGGATAACATTCATTTAAACTAGGGATAAAGAGGTCGAGATGAAACAAATACCTTTTATACAAGGTAGCGGTGGTTTAGAAATCAAGTATGGATATTGATAGAGATTGAATTAGAGATTTTGTTTCCATCCAAGAGAAGATGACAGGAAGTCATCGAAGATGCCATTGGGTATAGAGATCTCAGGCTTATCTATCTGGTTTATCGTCTTTCTTCTTCATCTTGGAAGAGTTGTTGGTAGGAGTCAAGAAAACAAAGGTAAGGGCTTGTTCGTTTGCTTTGAAGTTGGACATCTGAAAGTGCAATAATTACATTAAGAAATATATTGGTATTGGTGAGCTTTTTTTTCTTTTTAGAGAATGTTGTTTTGAATTCTGAATTTTGAAAAATATCAAATATCTATTTTGATCCCATATATGAGAGTTGTTGTTTGTCTTTTCAGAGGTATCATTGGAAAACAAAAAGTTGCATGATTGCACTTTAAGAGAAAATAGATAAGAAGAAACGAACAATTCCTTTTTTCAAACAAACATTCGTTTCATTTGTATTTGTTTTTTTTGTTCTTTCTTTTTCTTCATAACCTTTGGAGCTTTTGATCTTGAAACTTTTTGATATATCCCTCCCATTTTTGAATTTCTTACTTTTGGATTCCTGTTCAATCTCATTTTTTGAAATAAATGATAAAAAAATATTTCCTTTACTGGTAGAAATCACACATCGTTTTGGATATCTGCTAATTTTCACCATGTCCGTATGAATGAATTTCCACCAATAGTGCATTTTTGTAACTGAATTTATTAGCAACTACTAATTCAAGCATGAATTCAATAAAAAACCTTTGTGGAAGATGTGTTTCTCTTCACCAAATGTTTATATTTTTTTCTGTTTTGATATATTTTAAAATTTGAAAATAGGAAAAAAATTAAAAACAAGAGGTTGTCATGTGCAGGAAGATGTACAGAATGAGTTGTACAGGAGATTCAGACTCAGTTGAGAAATACCAATTTGCACTTGCCTAATCCAAATATGACTTTATTTTTTAAATTTTCTTTTTAATATAACCAACGAAACTCTGATATGAATATAATAAATGTGTTGCAATTAGCCAAACATGTCTAGATGAAGAGATTCTGTGTTTTGAACACTCTCATCTGATCAAATCCAAGCTTATTCTTATGATCAAAAAAGAAAATAAAATAAATGACTTAGGCTCAGTTTGGAAAGACTACTGCAAATGCAAATACGTAGAGCGAGTTAGATATTAATTAATTTTTCTTTTGCTGAATGACTAACGGTATAAAATACTTAATCCATACAGTGGAAGAACGTCGATCGCCATTTCTTTGCAAGAGCGAGCTAGACCTAGGTACCTGTGTCTGTAAGTCGTAAGTAGTCATGGGTTACTCCAAAAGTAGCATTGGAAAACTGGCTATGGTCTCTCTTCTGTTCCTCGGAGTTGCCTTTGTGATCATTCTCATCTGGTCTCCGTCCTTTTCCAATGTTTTGCATTCATTCCCACTACACAACTCATGTTCGTTGTCAAACAAGGTAATTAAGCACGCCTCTCTTCTCTGATTCGGAATGGTTCTCTTCTTCTTCTTATTGTGTATGGAGATTAATATTATATATACGACTTTTGATTTTCTTTCTGTGTTTGAATTATCAGATCACCCTGAACGTTTCAAAAGATGATCTTGAAACAGCTTTGGAGGAAGCTTCAGCAGAAAACAAGACACTGATAATTGCCGTAGTAAACAAGGCTTACGTTGAGGGTGAAGGAAGGACAATGTTAGATCTCTTCATGGAGAGTTTCTGGCTTGGTGAAGGGACTCGACCCTTGATCGATCACCTTCTCCTCGTGGCAGTCGATCAAATAGCCTTTGATCGGTGCAAGTTTCTCAGGCTTCACTGCTACAAACTTGTAACTGAAGGGGTCGATTTTGGAGGGGAGAAGTTCTTCATGTCAGATGACTTCCTCAAGATGATGTGGAGGAGAACTCTCTTCCTTGCCGATGTTCTCAAAAGAGGGTACAGCTTCATCTTCACGGTATGTGAGTTGACGATCAAACTGCAGTTTACAGTCTATCACGATTAATTAATTCATGGTCTGGGTTTTGACCTCGAACGTCGAAAATTTTTTACTGGGTGGGTGGTTTCTTGGCTTCTGGTGTTGACTTAGTACGAGGTCATTGGTTGCATGTGTGACGGTTTCTTGAACCAGTCAACAGATAATCTTGTCTTAACACACTGAAAACGTTCATATTAAGAAAACTGAAACTAGATCGATCAGATAAAATTTTTACTGGGTTCATTTAATTGGTTATTGCATGGAGCAGGATACAGATGTAATGTGGCTAAGGAATCCGTTCTTGAGGTTGAGCAATGACAACAGCAGCGATCTCCAGATCAGTTGTGATAAATTCAATGGCAACCAGTGGTCTGAAGCGAATCCCATCAACACCGGGTTCTACTATGTGCGATCGAACAACAAGACGATCGCTTTGTTCGACGCCTGGTACGCCATGAAGAACAGGTCTCAGGGGATGAATGATCAAGGCGTTCTGGAGAGAATGAAGCGGAGGGGAGAGTTCAGACGGCTTGGGCTCAGAGTGAGGTACATGGATACAGTGTATTTTAGCGGCTTCTGTAGGGAGAGCAGAGATATTAGGGCAGTGACGACCGTCCATGCCAACTGTTGTCGTAGTATCAATGCAAAGCTGGCCGATCTAACTGTTGTCCTTAGAGACTGGAGGAAGTTCATGAGTTCATCCAATCAAACCTTGAACTTTCACTGGTCCACCCACATGGCATGTAGGCGTTCATGGTAATTGCTCAATGGGCAGCTGGGTTATTCTTGAATTGCTCTCTCTCTCTCTCTCTCTCTCTCTCTCTCTCTCTTCAATATTCCTGGTCCCTGCACTCTGTGTATACAGGAGAATGTAAAAAATGTGTGTACCCATATACATGCATATAACATATACATTCAGTTCTTGTACATAGAAATCAAAACATAATGAATGACCAAGGATCAGTAAAATGGCTGGCCGGAGTTCCTGCAAACAGACTTGAGTTACAAGCCCAACTGATCTTCTCTTCAAGTTTCATTCCACCCTGCTAATAATTCACCTCTAAAGACTCAGACTTCTCAAAACTTCTGCAATTCTGTTCCTTCCAAATCACCTAGTAAATAGCAGAAAGCAGACAGTTCCAAAGAAACCAACCTTTAATTTAGCTGAGAACAAACCCACCCTCCAAGACGAAAGTAGCTCAACCAGTGAATAGGGGAGAACCCAGTGAATCCGAAATAGTTTTAATTAAAAAGTGACACTATTCCTTATAGGTAAAGGAGTAGTGGATTGATGTACCTATACCGAACCACATCAGAAACATGTGGCATCTAGGGTCATTACCAGCTTAGAAGAGAACAACGTAACTTAGTACCAAACAAAAACTAATCAGGATTTTTTAGGAAATAGATTGATGAAGGTATGATTTAGACATTTTAGTAACTTTTATAAAAATTCACAAACAAAGTTATAAATGTCGATATCATAGTATCTCATAACTTTTTACTACACCAAAGCAGGGACCCCATCAAGCCCTAGGGATAAGTCATAAGAGCACCTATACTAAACATGACAACTTTGATATATTCCGGAGTAGGCATATTCAAAAGTAGGGTGGCAACTTTTTAACCCAACCCAACCATTAATTGATGGTTATTTCTTTATATCTATAAAAAAAGAGGGGAAATTCATAATTAGTACTAAAGTAGGTCCAGTGCCACTTTGGTTCCCTAACTTTAAAATGCAAGCATTCAACAATCCAATACCTAAATTTTCAAAATGTGACAATCTAGTACCTGTCGTTAACTAGTTATTAATCAGCCATTAAGTGATATTTTAAAAAGATACAAATGCCTTTCAAGTATCATCTAATTTTCTTTATGTAAACATTGACTAAAAAAATTAGTAGTCTCAAATCCTTGCTTCTTCTATTCAAGAAAGTTGGGGTCAGCAAAATGGCCACTCAAAGGTAACCCCAACTTTCTTGAATTTCCATCCCTTGCCCATAGTGATCACAATGGCGGTAACAAGGGCAAAAAGAAACTTGCACCACAACCAAGGGAGCAAAGAGGCAAGGATGTGAAGTGGGTTATATATATATATATCATGGTTTTAAAAAATGACTCGCAAATGGAACCGTTTTGGCCACCAGTTTCTGAGTTGACGATCCGTTCTGACAAAAAGAATAAAAAAATTAATTAAAAATAAAAAATGGCCAAAACTGTTGAACGGGTCAATGATTCGATCACCCGGGTCAACAAATCATTGACCAATTCAACGATTTTTTGCCAAGGACCAGGTTTGGGGTAAAATGGAACCAGTTGCCTAGATAGTTCCTGGGCCGAATGGTCCGATCGTCCGGGTCATTGGCGGTTCGAAAACCATGATATATATATATATATATATATATATATATATTAATCTGAGATTGATTATGCAATGTTCTCCTTGGATAAAGATTTTATTTCTGATAGAACCTAGATCTTAAACAAGCGTTAGGGACTTTGATGGAGACCAAAATAAGTGGCAGCAATGGGGGTGGTGTGGTTCTGAGTTCTGACATTAGGTGACTTGAAATGAATTGTTGAACAACGGATTGGAGTCTCAAGTTTTATAGGTTTAGCACCATGGGCTCGACACTTTGACAACATTAGGGGTGGCAATTTTTCAACCCAACCATTAATTGATGGATTGGGTTGTATCCATTTAATTTTGGATCACTACGAGTTGGGTAACCCTTTTAAAATGTGACTTAATGGTTTGGGTGGGTGTAGTCATGGATACCCAACGGATAACCCATTTTTAAGACATTTTTACTCTCTCTAGGATCTTTTCCATTACCCATTTTCAGGTCTTGATCGGTGACTTTGAACCATTTCACACGAAGAACAGATGAATTTATCACATCTTGCATGTGAGAAAGAACCAATGGGTGCACCGCCACCATAGATCAAGAATTCAGCTACAGTACCTCTGTTTTCATCCAAGAATTGGAGGAGCAATAGGATCGATGAGCTTGGGTAATTTTGAGACTTGGATAACAACACCACAAATCAAGACCTTAGCTGTAGTAAGAATTGGAGGGGATAAAAGGCCCAATAAGGCAGAGCTCAGATAATTTTATGGCTCATTGCCGGTGATCAGTGGAAACTCTTTGACTTCACGATTGTAGACAGGCATAAGTTATCTCTTGTTTCTTACAAAACTTGGAGCCCAGAAGAAAGTGTTTGATGAATATCCCCAAAGATAGAATTAATAACTAAATTCTATACGTTGCAGCAAAAAAAAAAACTAAATTCTATACGTTGTGTGTTAGTTTTCATTGTTTCTCCATTTCTTGCTATCTATGAATTGCTTTTCTTTTTTTTTTGCAATTTAATTATTTATTTTCATTTTATGTGTTTTTTATAATTCCGGTTATATTTTCCCACAATTTCTATTATTTTTTTGTAATTTTTTTCTATATTTTGTTATTTTTTTGTAATTTAGTTAATTTGTTTTTTCATTTTTTGTGTTTTCTATAATTTTTGTTTTATTTTTCTTATAATTTCTATTTTTTTTCATCTTTCTACGTTTTAATAAATTAAATTAATAGATTGGATGAATTGGATTGGGTCAAGGCGGGTTTGGATTCAACCCGACCCATTTACTTTTCTCTAAATGGATTATTACTGGGTTGACGGATTTGATGGATTGGGTTGAAGCTCCGAACCCCAATCCACCCAATTGTCACCCCCTAGGGCCTACGCAGCATGTTAGTCTCTAAAATGGGTAGAGTAGTAATAGAAGAATGGGAAAACTCAAGTTCGTTGAGGACAAAGACCGGTTGTGGTTGACGGGCATGCAAATAGTGAGAGACTTTACCTATTAGGAAATCACAGGAAATTGAGCCCAATTGAGTATGTCCTTCATTAATTGACAGCCGCACATTTAAAAATACTAGGGGAGGTTTTTATTAAGGTCAAAATATAGGCGAAGTTTTTATGATTGCTAGGGGTGTTTTTTGTATTTTACCATTTTTTATTATAATTAAAAGATTGCTTTGGGCTTAAAGGGCATACAGGCCCTTATAAGATTAGGAAAATTGTTTATTTAAAAAAGTAAAAATCACAAATCTAAATTGATTTAGCACATAACTAGAATCATTGACCACTAATGTAACATAGAAATTGAAATTTATCTAATATATATAATAGCACTATTGTAAGTATATAGAACTATTTTCAAGATTTAAAATATAAGGGCAGGCCCGTCGGGGCAAGGATTTCACTCCCCATACTTGTCTCTCCAAATTTGTCACAATTATAATGGTTTTGGTTCTATGAATTTGTCTCAATTAATAATTGGGTCGGTTTCGGTTTTTGCTTGTCTCAAATCGATTTAGAGTTAGAACCAATTATTTTACTAAATATATAGTGTTTTCTTAATTTTAATGTAATTTTTATCACACTTTAAGTTTGAAATGGTAAATTTGATAGATAAGAAATAATATAATATTAGTTAAAAATGTTTAATTTATTAATACATAAATAATTTAGTATTTTTATTAAGATTACATTATCAAAATTTAAATTTTATTATTTAAATAAATAAATATAGTTTTCAATATAATTGGGTCTCCCAACTATTAACCAGGACAGTTCTGTGTATGATTTTGTCTCGATTAATAATCGGTTTGGGACTAGTTCTACCTAGACCTGACCCATACGATGCATGGGAAACTAATATGAAAGGTAAAGGGTTTGAATGGATATGTAAACCCTTGCATCATTTTATATAATTTATTGTAAATTCTAAAATTTATTGAAATTCTATAATTTTCTACAATTTCAAGTTCTAAAATAATTACAAATAATTTCTGGTAATTATTTCAATAATTTATGAGAATTACTGTTTTATTGAAAATTCTATAAGTTTCTATAATGTCTAGTAATTCCCGGTAATGTGGGAATAGTTCTCAATAGTTTTGGTAATTTTATACAAATTTCTATAATGTTTTATATTTTCTATTAATTTTGGGTAAATTTCAATAATTATTGACAACTTTTGGCCATTTTCCATAATTGATGAGAATTTTCTATAAACAATAAATTATTAATAATATATGACAATTTTCAATAATTATGATAATTCATAATATTTTTCTTTCAAAATTTTAGAAATTTTGAGAATGACTATTTAACCTAAAATTCTATAATTCTATAATTCTATAATTTATGAGAATTAGTGTTTTAATTATAATTCTATAAATTTCTATAATTCCTGGCAATTCTTTGTGATATTCTATAACTTATGATATTTTTTGGTAATTTTCTATAATTTCTGCTAATTTTTTATAACTTATTGAAATTAATAGTAATTTCACATTAATATATGATGATAATGATGATAAGGGAAATTGTCCAAAACCCACCATCACTTTTTTGTGAATTCTCTTAAACTCACCACAACTTTTCAAAACGTCCAGGGAACCCCATGCGAGTGAGTTTTATTTTCCAAAAACTCACTTTTTGTTAGTGCACTGTTAGGGCTGTTCGTAAGAAGACCCAACTCGATCAAACCGACCAACCCGAGTCGGCCAGGTTTTCTTCACCACCGATCGGTTTTGGGTTATAAAAAATCATAAACCGATGATTTGGTTCAGTTTCGGTTTTCATGTGTGAAAACCGAAACCAACCCAACCCGAATTGGCTTAGTAGTTAGTTTCTAGTTAGTAGTTACAACCTACTTAGTTCTTCACTATTGAGTTCATCAGGAGGTAT